CTTGGGTCAGCCTTTTTCCCAGTACTATAAGTGAGGGGGCAGCAAGGCCCCAAAAAAGGGTTGATTGGGTACCTGATAGTTTGCCAGCCAGGCCCAGCCTATAGCCGTCTTTTGAACAAACAAAGAAGATCTGGTGGATTTCACTAGTATCCTCCCACTTGATTCACTTCTGGTTGGGAGACAGGATTCCTAGCACCTTGGGTGACAAAAGGCTGTCTTGGGGTTGTGCCAATCTATTACCAAACATTGAGCCTATGGGCTTTAAGTGGGAGTCTTATCCCTGTGAGCCTTATCTCAGCCAATTACCTTTCTTGATAATAGGAGCGGCTTCCTTCTCTCATTCCTTCTCTTCACCCACTTTCTTCATTTCCCCTGTCCTTCATCCCACTGCTTTCCCATTCTTCTTTCTGGGTGTTAAGGGAGATTGCCTCCCTGCTCAAGGATACTCCCTATCGGGCATAGTACATGCCTGCAGAAAGTTCCATGAGCCTGTAAGCACTCCAGGTGAGGAAGTGGACAGGAGCCATTGGGCATAACCAGACAGAATTTGGAGAAGTTTTTATAAAGCTCCACTGAGAGTTTTAAAGAAATATATGTAGCATGATTTTCTACAAGAGGAAAAAGATTATTTAAATAGGATTTGGATCATGCAACAACCAGAGTATCAGGATGACCTCTGGACCCCATGGCTAGGACACAGTTAAACTTTCGTTTTCCCCTTATTCAGACATAGGAAGAATTAACTTTTAAAAGGTCAATGTCCAGTTGAAGGCAGAACACTAAGCAGATTTCAAGGCCCAAAACTTGGGGACTAGACCACCTTTTGTTGAGGAAACTGCCACGTTTGTGAAATCCGTGGATAAAGCAAATTAAATAACACTACTGTCCTGATTACTCCTTAGGATGTGGTCAAAACAACATCAAATGTTTCTTCTCTTCCTTCCCGCAAGACAGTGTCCTGAACCTGTTAAATTAAGTCATTGGATTTTACTCTGTTCTGTTTACAGTTTACTATTTAAGGTTTTATAAATGTAAATATATTTTGTATATTTTTCTATGAGAAGCACTTCATAGGGAGAAGCACTTATGACAAGGCTATTTTTTAAACCGCGGTATTATCCTAATTTAAAAGAAGATCGGTTTTTAATAATTTTTTATTTTCATAGGATGAAGTTGGAGAAAATATTCAGCTGTACACACAAAGTCTGGTTTTCCTGCCCAACTTCCCCCTGGAAGGTGTACTTTTTGTTGTTTAATGTATAGCTTGTTTGTGCCCTGTTGACCTAAGTAACTGTTTCCTGGGTTTGCTTTTCGACAATAAATGGAGAAGGAAGGTCACCCACCTCCACTGGGCCACTCCCCTCCTTCCCCTATTGAAGCTCCTCAGAAGGCTATAGTAGTAGCTTGATACAACAGTTTCTCCTTATCTTTCCCACATTCTCTCTCTCTTTTCTGGCTTCAGCTCCAGACTGGTGAGAGGTGGTACTCTTATACATTTCCCTGATCTTTCCTACTTCAGAGTTAGCAACCAACAAGTTGAATGGCAAGTTGACATTTTCCATCACCATCTGCCTCATAGGTCACCTCCTCCCTTTCTGTCTGCCCACCAAGTCCTCATACCTGCAAAGAACCCATTGATCTCCTTGTGCCCTCTTTTGGGGCAGCCCGTTGAAACTGAAGCACAGTCTGACCACTAACGATAAAGCAGATTTTTCTCTGCCTCTGCCACAAGGTTTCAGAGTAGTATAGTCCTGTAGAGGGGTGGGGCACCCTTTTCTCGCCACAAGAAGTGCACTCCTATGGAAGTCTAGCAAAGCAATACAACTCAGCCCAGTACACTCTGCCCCAGGACTCATGGCTCTGCTGTGCCTTCCATCCTGGGCTCCCTTCTCTTCCATGACCTTAAGAACTTTGTCTGGTGGCTTTGCTGGAACATTGTCACTGTTTTCACTGTCATGCAGGGAGCCTAGCACTGTGGCTAGGATGGCAGAGACTTCCTTGTCATCATGGAGAAGTGCCAGCAGGGGACTGGGGAAAAGCACTCTACCCAGACCTCACCTCCCTTCCTCCTTTTGCATGAACAAGATACAGTGGCCCTAGGGGTTCCACTAGTGTCTTGTTCCCTTTATTATTGCACTGTGTGAGGTTTTTTTGTAAATCCTTTTATCCCTTTTTTTTTAAAGAAAAAAAAATACTTAAGCTGCATTTGTTACTGAAATGATTAATGCACTGATGGGTCATGAATTCACATTGAGAAAGACCCAAAGGCCAGTCAGGGGGTGGGGGAAACTCAGCTAACTAGACCTAGTTACTGCCCTGCTAGGCCATGCTGTACTGTGAGCCCCCTCCTCGTTCTCTTTCTACCAATCCCAAACCCTGAGGACAGGGGAGGATCCCACATCCTTCCTTTTCCTGCCAGCTGCAGATGGTTTGCCTTGCCTTTCTACCCCCTAATTGTCAACCACAGAAGTGAGAGATTCCTCTATAGCTCAGCCTTGAGTCCATTGCCAAACTTCAGCATACCTGCCAGCAACTTGGGGGAGAGGCCAAAGTTTCTCTATGAGAGGGAAAGAAGGCAAAAATGGCATAGCTATCTCCAAAACTTCTGAGTTTGTTCTGAAAGTGACCAAGGGAATCTCTGCACAGTAGTGCAGACTAAGGAATTGTGGTGGGTCATTCCCAAGAATCCCCCAAGGGGCATCCCAAATCCCTAAGGAGTAACAGCTGCAAACCTGGTCAGTTCTCAGTGAGAAAGCCAGCTCACTTTTAGCTTTGCTGCTAGAACCTGTTGTGGCTGCATTTCCTGGTGGCCAGTGAAAACTGTGTAACTAGACTAGCTGCATGGCGCTGAACCTGTGGCCGGAACTTGGTCCCTTGGCTCCCTCCGTTATGGTCCACCACCTCCAGCACAGCCCCTCCTGTTTTTAGACCAATAACAAGATTTAAGGGGGAAGCCTTGGCAGCTATAAGTTTTCAACCACACTCCTTTGCCGGGATCCACTCCACCACCCTGCTCGCCTCAGTCAACCCCCCGGCCAATGCAGTGAGCACCATGCAGCCCTCTTGATTTAAAAAAAAAACAAACAAAAAAAATACAACAACAACAAAAAAATAAAAAAAAAATCTTTTAATGAATGTATCTTTCTAAAGGACTGACTTCAATCAAATATCTGAAAATACTAAAGGTCAAAACCGTGTGAGATGTTAACTTTTAAGTTTGATTTGGGATTTTTTAAAAATTAGAAATCAAGTTTGTTATTTTAAAGAAAAAGCGGGTCATTGCAAAGGGCTGGGTGTAATTTTATGTTTAATTTCCTTCATTTTAAAGCAATACGAGGTTATTGAGCAGATGGTTTTGTACCGAATCATGAATACCAGTCAAGTCTCACGCTCTGAAAACTTGCAACTTTTTTGTTTGTTTTGGTTTTCAAATAAATATAAATAAGATATATATAGAAACTAATATAGTAATGCACCATGTAACAAAGCCTAGCTCAGTCCATGGCTTTTAATTCTCTTAACACTATAGATAAGGATTGTGTTACAGTTGCTAGTAGAGGCAGGAAAATGTCAGTCTGGCATTCCTCTGATTCCCGACCTAGGGCAAAACCAAACCCTAAAGGAATGGTGAGGGTCCATTCCTAGGATCAGAGAGAAATGCGAAAATGGTGTCACCTGGATTTTTTCTGCCATGAATGTTGCCAGTCAGTACCTGTACTCCTTGTTTCTCTCTTTTTGGTTATGAATGTTGGGGTTACCACCTGCATTTAGGGGAAAATTGTGTTCTGTGCTTTCCTGGTATCTTGTTCTGAGGTACTCTAGTTCTGTCTTTCAACCAAGAAAATAGACTTGTGGTGTTTCTTTTATTGAACTTTTAACAGTCTCTTTAGTAAATACAGGTAGTTGAATAATTGTTTCAAGAGCTCAACAGATGACAAGCTTCTTTTTCTAGAAATAAGACATTTCTTGACAACTTTATCATGTATAACAGATCTTTTGTTTTCTTTTTTTCCTTGTGTTCTTCCAAGCTTCTGGTTAAAGAAAAAGAGAAAGAAAAAAAAAAAAAAAAAAGAAAACATGTCTAAAGTCCATCAGTGTTAACTCCCTGTGACAGGGATGAAGGAAAATACTTTAATAGTTCAAAAAATAATAATGCTGAAAGCTCTCTACGAAAGACTGAATGTAAAAGTAAAAAGTGTACATAGTTGTAAAAAAAAAAAAAAAAGGAGTTTTTAAACATGTTTATTTTCTATGCACTTTTTTTTATTTAAGTGATAGTTTAATTAATAAACATGTCAAGTTTATTGCTGCAGATGGTTGAGCTTTCTTTTGGCCAGGGCTGGGGTGGAAAATGGAGAGAGGGGTGGCCTGGGAGCCAACTGCAAAGTACCTTCCACAGTCCTTTATTTTAAGGCGGAATCAGTAAATCATTTCCCATATCCTTCCTCGGACTCTGCTCTGGCTCTTTTTTTTAATTTTTTACTGTCCTTTAAGTGAAAGATTACAGTTCAAGTCAGTTTCTCATATAAAAATTTATACACGCATTGCTGTGTGACCCTAGGTGCTCTCCCTATGCTGTGACAGCACACTCCTCCTTTCCACCCTGGATTTCCTGTGTCCATTCAACCAGCTCCTGTCCCTTTTTGCCTTCTCATCTCGCCTCTGGACAGGAGGTGCCCATTTAGTCTCATGTATCTACTTAAGCTAAGATGTACTCTCTTCCCGAGTATCATTTTATGTCCCATAGTCCAGTCTAATGTATGTTTGAAGAGTTGGCTTCGGGAATGGTTTCAGTTCTGGGCCAATGGAGATTCCGGGGGCCATGTCTTCCGGGGTCCCTCCAGTCTCAGACCATTAAGTCTGGTCTTTTTACTAGAATTTGAATTCTGCACCCCACTTTTCTCCTCCGTCAGGGACTCTGGTGTGTTCCCTGTCAGGGTGGTCATTGGTGGTAGTCCGCTCTGGCTCTTTTAACCATATTTTCTCCGTTTACTCATCAGTAATGGGTGTTCAGGACCTAATTGATTCTGGACATGAGGAAGGGGTCAGGAGGACAAAGGAATAGTTCTTTTTCCATCTATATAGCCTCCCTCCTTCATCCAACGGAGGTCAAGCAGTGGCTTCTAACAGTTTTCACCCAATCTGTGAATATAATAAAAGCGTTGCAGGGAAAAGCTGGAGAGTGATTTCTCTTTGCTCTACCTTAAGGCCAAAATTGGGTTGGTTTACTCTGTTACTCCTAGGACTAAGGTGGGGGTTGTAGTTGAGAAACCTTTGTAAATATCCTGGCAGAGTAAGGGCCACTAACCCCAGGCAGAAGGGGTTGAGCTTACACTACAGCCAAGAGATGGCAGACGCTCATTGGAGGAAGATCCTCAAACGGAACCTCCCTCTCTATCAGCTGCCAGAGGCTCAGTCCCACACTCCTTCTTCTCCTCTCATTCTAAACCACCTTTTTGGATTTTGAAGTTGAGCACCATGGGGACTCCAAATGATCAGGCAGTGTTGCAGGCCATCTTCAACCCTGACACCCCATTTGGAGATGTTGCTGGGTTGGACCTGGGAGAGGAAGCAGAGGAGGAAGTAGATGAAGGTGAGCATTTGACCTTGGAGTGTAGCTCTCCCCATAGGCTAGCCCTCTGGCCTCCCCAGGGTGGCAGAGGGAGGTGGCTTTATAAGTCCTCTTGTTCCATGACCCTGGGGTTATGATTGAGATTGAAATCAAAGAAGTTGGCTAGTCCTGAGTGCACCGATGGGTTTGACGAGAGTCACTGCCGAGAGGGGAAAACCAGAGTTTGTCTCAGTCCTTCGGCCCCAACACCTCTGAAATTACCTCATCACTTAATTGACCCCATGATCCAAGTGTAACTTTGTGTGTGTTGGGTAGGGAGGGGATGTTAAACTCCACATCTTTGTCATAACAGAGAATATCACCCTGCACAGGATGGAAGACAGAAACAGGGCAGGGGTGGCTCAGTTGATCAGCTTCCAACATAAGCAAGCAGAACCAGCATTTGTTGAGCTCCTTTACAAGCCAAAGGAACCAATACTCGGCAGCTAACCAAAAGGTTGGTGGTTCAAACCCACCAGCTACTTTGCGGGAGAAAGATAGGGCAGTCTGCTTCCATAAAGATTACAGCCTTGGGAACCCTATGGGGCAGTTCTACTCTGTCCTATAGTGTCACTACGAGTCAGAATTGACTCAGCAGTAAGGGGTTTGGTTTGGTTTGGTTTTTATTACAAGCCAAGCACTGAGCTGACTTCCACAAAGTGAGTGCACTCAGACAGGCTTTTCCATCGGTCCCTAATGGAGAAGTTTTTGATGAAATAGGGGCACTAATAACTACATTGCTGAATTGTGGAGTGGAAAATATTAAATAATACTCTTTCTGGCCCTTCTCTTTTTAAAATATTTTATTTTGTTGTTGAAAATAACAAAACATACACCAGTTCAACAATTTCTACATGAACAATTCAGTGACATTGATGACACTCTTCTCAAGTTGTGCAACTATTCTCACCCTCCTTTTCCAAATTGTTCCTTCCCCATTAACATAAACTCACTGTCCCCTAATCTTCCTATCTAACTTTTCAAATGCTGTTGTCCATTTGACCCCATATAGATAGTTCTTTAAAAGAGCACAATGCTCAAGGCAGACATTCTTTACTAATTAAGCTGAACTATTGTTTGGTTTAAAGAAGACTTCAGGGGATATTTTTGGTTTAAGGTTTAAAGATTATCTCAGGGCAATTGTTTCAGGGGTTCATCCAGCCTCAATGGCTCTAGAAAGTCTGGATTCCATGAAAATTTGAAATTCTGTTCTGCATTTTCCCCCCTTTGATCAGAATTCTTCTATAGAATTTTTTATCAAAATGCTCAGTAGTGGTAGCCTGGCACCATACGGTTCTTCTGGTCTCATGGCAAAGGGGGCAGTACATCCAAGGTACAATGTTTCGTCTCTATTTGCTTGGAGCAGCAAAGGAAGAAGGAGAGTCAGGAATAGGAGGAGGAAATGGAATGCATGGCTAATTGCCTCCATGAACAACTGCCTCTGCACTTCTTTTAAAAGTTTAGATTCCACTTTGCCCCCTTTTTGCTATTTTATCAATAAATATTGAGGCTCTACTATGAGCTACCGTACTAGGTGCTAGAGATGGAGTGATGTGTAGTACAAACTCCTTCCCTCAGGAAGAAGATAGCTCACTGAGAGCTAGAGCCCAGATCACATATCCAGACTACACAGGAAGATGGCCAACAGTGGTTGGCAAGGTGACTGAGGGAGAGTGCAGATGATAAATTGTCATCATGGCAGAGTTGGGAATTGAGAAGGGGTTTGGAGGAGGACAACGATTTAGCCAAGTGGAGAGAGGGAGGGGCAGAGTAGGTGAAGTTAGTGATGGGAAGGCATGTGTGTATGTTTGGGAAATGAGTAGACATTTCTGATTGGAACAGGGAAGTGAGAAATAAGGCTACAGAAATGGAAGGAAAGAGTACCAGGAACACAGGCTACAGAGTCTGAGCTTCATTCTCTTGGCAGTGGGGAACCAACCAAGGTCCCTTTCCCTGGTCCTGTTGGCACTTGGGCAATGCTAGCTCCCATCCTTGATGACCTCAGTCCCTCCTGCCCCAAACACTGCACCAGCACCCTGAGGTGGCTTTTCCTTCTTGCTCCCAAGCTCACACCTGTCCCTTCCTGGATCCCTCCCTGGCACAGACGGAATTTTCCCTCGAGAACAGCTGGAGCAGTCCAAGGCCCTGGAGCTCCAGGGGGTGATGGCAGCAGAGGCTGGGGACCTCAGCACAGCCCTGGAAAGGTTTGGCCAAGCCATCTGCCTCCTGCCTGAGAGGGCCTCTGCCTACAACAACCGAGCCCAGGCCCGGCGACTACAGGGAGACGTGGCAGGTGAGGGGGAGACACTCTGGAGCTTGTGCAGAATGACCTGGCACGCACAGACCAGAGAAGAAGTGGTTGTGGGGCTGGGGCGTTGGGGCGGGGGGGTGCTGTCACTCAAACCTCCTGAAGCCTGTGTTCTTATCTATAAAATAGAAGATCTATCACGAGCCCTGTTAGCCTCATGGGGCTATTGTGAAAGTCAGAAGAGATTACATTCCATTTATTCACTTAACAAACGTTTATTGAGAGCCTACTATGTGACAATGGACTAGGTGCTGAAGTCACAAAGGTAAGAGATATGCTATTTATAGCTAGCATTTATAGAACATTTATTGTGTGCTGGGCACTGGGCTAAGCATATAAGCTTTACATATAAGCTGAACAACTCATTTAATTCTGACAACCATAAAAGGTATGTACTATTATTATTCCCGTTTTACAGATGAGAAACTGAAGCATGGAGAGTTAAGTAGCTCGCCCACTATCACACAGCAAGAAGTAGAAGAGCTGGGATTTGAGCCCAGGAGGTGGGGCTCCAGAATGTGTGCTCTTAATCCCCCCATGATACTGCTCCTCCAGGAGCTCACATCTAGGAGGTAGGACAGACCCAGCATTATAATACTAGCCTAATGAGAGAGGGACAGGGCTCATCATGGGACTTGCTCCTGAAGAGTGAGTTTTGAAGGATGAGTAGGAGTGAGCTGGATTAGGGGTGGGAGTGGGAGAAGTTACAGCCTGCAGAGCCCAGAAGGCATAAAGAGGTAGGGGGACTTCAGATCTCCAGGGAGTGGTGGAAGGATGGAAAGCAGAGCCTGGAGAGGTAGGCAGGGGCCAGATGGTGAAGACCTGGGAATGTCAGGCCAAGATCGGACTGTATCTTGAAAACATGGGGAATCACCAAAGGTTTTTAACTGGGGAGTGTGAATGGATCAAACTTGCTGTATTCAGGTTACTCTAGCTGGAGGAGGCCAAGGGGACAGAGGGGCCATGCTGGAGGCCAGAGTCCAGGTTGATGCAAAGGTGTAAACCATGGAGGCCTGGTGGGGAACTACTAATTGTTACTATTAGCTGCGGTGGAGGTGCTGCTCCAGGGCCCTCGGTGCTAGGCTGGGGAGTTTAGACCCGATTCTGGGAACAATGGGGAACCCTTGATGCTCCCTTTTCCAGGCTTGTCCAGGGTAGGGCCATAGGGGCCTCTGGGGACGGCCTGCAAGCCGAAACCCAAGAGGTGCAGAGGCAATTCTACCTGAAGAGGACTTCCATTCTCCCACACCTTCCCTTTGAGGGAGAACAAGGACCCTGCAATCAGAGAATGTCTCCACTGTCTGGGGATCAAACCACACAGACAGGACAGGAAGACTAGTCTTGCTGCAGGAGGGTGCTGGAGCTCCCCAAGCACCTTGCCGGTCTCTTTAGAAGACTAGAGAATAGGAGTGAATTGAGGCAGAGCCAAGAAGAAATGCAGCCTGGTCAACCTCACAGACGCTCGCTGGCTGCTGCGAGCTTCCGACTTCAGAGTTCTGAGGCCCAACACTACTATTTTATGAGGACGATAAAAACAAAAAACGGTGCAAGCCTGTTCTGGCTCCACACCTCCTTCAAAAGAAATTAGATACAAAATGATTTAGATGGTGGAGATAAAGAATGAGGAATGAAATCCAGGAAACAGATGAGAGACGAGCTGTTTTAAAGCAGATAATGGGAGAAAAACCCTACAAAGCAAAAGAATGAGAAATGACTTTATTGTAAGAAATAGTTTATGCAGTTAACTATTTTTTTTGGAACTTGGGATTCAGATACAGTCACCTGCCACATGGTAGGTGCTTAATGACTTACATGTGGAACAAATTGTCTGCTATATGCCAGGTTCATTAACCTGGCCACGCAAAATCCTCCCCACAATCTTCATGTTTTGGTGCATTGTTGTTGTTAGGTGTCATGGAGTCGATTTCGACTATAGCGACTCCATGTGACAGAGTATAACTGCCCCATAGGGTTTCTAGGCTGTAATCTTTAGGGGCGCAGATCACCAGGTCTTACTCTCATGTAGCTGCCGGGTGGGTGTGGGTTCCAACCGCCAACATTATGGTTAGCAGCTCAACGCTTAACCACTGAGCCGTCAGGGCTCCTTTTTGGTTATTGTCATTGGGTGCTGAGTCGTTGCTACTCATAGCGACCCTGTGCTCCTATTCATAGGGTTTTCACTGGCCAATTGTTTTAGAAGTAGATCGCCAGGCTTCGGTTATTAGGTAGTGGGAAAATACCAGGAACAAGGAAGGACCTGGACTTTAGTCCCAGCTCGGCCACTAACTGGTTGTGCAGGCCAGAGCAAGGCTTCCCAGCTCTTCCAGTCTTCATCTGTGTAACGGGAATAATAATACCTAACTCTAGGATCAAATGTCAGCGCATGTGCAGTAAAAGCCCCAGCCCACCTGCCGCAATTATGACTATGGATTCTTGTCTCCGCTCGGCCTCAGCGACTCCGCAGCCACAGGTGGGCGGGAGGCTCTGCGCTAACGCCCGCCCGTCCGCCCCGCAGGCGCCTTGGAGGACCTGGAGCGCGCCGTGGCGCTGAGCGGCGGGCGGGGCCGCGCAGCCCGCCAGGGCTTCGTGCAGCGCGGGCTCCTGGCGCGGCTGCAGGGCCGGCACGACGACGCCCGCAGAGACTTCGAGCGTGCGGCGCGGCTGGGCAGCCCCTTCGCGAGGCGCCAGCTGGTGCTGCTCAACCCCTATGCCGCGCTGTGCAATCGCATGCTGGCCGACATGATGAGGCAGCTGCGCGGCACCGGCAACCCGCTCTGAGCGCGATGGCGGGCGCAGGCGGAGTGGGCGGTCCCAAACCAATAAAGCTGCTGGCACCTCTCCCGACTCTGCCTGTTTTTGCGTCCAGCCCCGGCGCCCACGCACGGGGGGCCCCAGCGCCAGCCTCGCAAGTGGAAGGTACACAGGTGTACCCTGCGTGGGCGGCCCTCCGCCCGTGATGAGGACCCGTCCGGGCGGGGGTGGTGAGCCGACCTGCCGCCCACCTGCCCTGGGGGAGGGGCACATCGGGCCCGCGGGTCGGTCATTGATTGGCCCTGCCTGGCACAGTCCGGGCCTCTGCAGCAGACTGCGGTGCCTATCAGACCTGAGCAGTTGCTCGGGCTGCCCTCGGGGAGCGAGCCAGGTGAGCGACTCCGGGCTCCTGGAGGCGGGGTTGGGCCACAGGTGCTGCGGCGACCCGCGTCACCGCTCCCCTCCTCTTCGACACAAACTCACCAGAGCGACCTAAAGGACTGGGGAGGGGGCGTAGTCAGGCAGAGGGAAGGGGGAGTGGGACAGGAGAGAGGCCGGGGTCGGGGGAGGGACGGTGCTTTTGGGGGAGGCGGCACGCGTACACTAAGTGTGTGTTTGTGTCTGGGTCTGGCTGCGTGGTTACGCATTTTCTCTGTGTCTCTGTGGGTTTGTGCCTGCCCCTTGGGGAGTCAGTGCGCGGTTCTGCTTCTGCAGGGTGCCCAGGTTTTGGGCTTTGTTCGTGTCTACCTTCGTCTCTCTGGGTCTGTGTTCCCGTGCACGGTTCTTTTCGTTTCTGGAGAGTAAATTCTTGGAGAAGTCTCATACTCCCACCTGCTCTCAACCTGCGCCGACACCAAGGCCCGCCCCTTCTCTCAGCAGCCTGGCGCCCAGGCTAGGGCCACCATGGTACTGCCTCCAGGCTCAGCTACCCTCCTGCACATACTGCTGCTCCTGCCCGCCCTTCTGAGCTCAGGTACACCCCTGTTCATCCCTTGGCCAAGCACTTCTAGGGATCAAGCACCCTCTCTCCCCTCCTTTCCTGCACCTTTGGTGTGGGTACCCACTCCAGGCCCCAGGCTCCAGAGCCAGGTTCCCCTCGCCCACCTACCCAAGGCCCAGCCAGTCCCTGGTCAGCAAACTGTGTCTCTTGCCCTGCTGCCTCTGTAATGGGACCTCATCCTGGTCACAGCATAGTACCACCCCTCCCCTAGCCCTTCTCAGAGGCCCCCTGCTGTGTTCCAGGTTGGGGGGAGTTGGCACCACGAATTGATGGTCAGACCTGGGCTGAGCGGGCACTTCGAGAGAATGAGCACCACACCTTCACTTGCCGGGTGACTGGGGGGCATGGTGCCCCCCGGCTGGCCTGGTACCTGGATGGACAACTGCAGGAGGCCGGCACCTCAAGACTGGGCAGGGAGGCCTTCTCTGGAGGCACAAGCACCTTCACTGTCACTGCCCAGAGGGCCCAGCATGAGCTCAACTGCTCCTTGCAGGACCTGGGCAGTGGCCGGTCAGCCAACGCCTCTGTCATCCTCAATGTGCAATGTGAGTGCCCTGAGGCGGGCAGGGAGAAAGGTTCTCTGCCTGGGGACCCCAGCAGCCACTGGGTAAGTGGCCCAGTGGGACATTTAACAAACGATGAGCACATACTATGTGCCAGGTACTTTCTAAGCGCTTTGCAAATATTGACTGTCTTAACCCTCACCATAACCTATGAGGTTATTACTGCTGTTACTTCCCATTTTACAAATGAGAAAACTGAGACACAAAGAGATTAAGCTATGTGCCCGAGGTCATACAGCTGGTAAGTGGCAGAGCCATGATTCGAATTCAGACATTCTGGCTCTAGTGTCCACACTCTTGGTCACTATGAAATGCTGTCGCTCTGGCAGACCCAGTCGTCCTGCTTCCCAGTGCACCTCTGAGGAGAGGTCCAGGCCCCAGGCTCCCTTCTGGGTTTGGGAAGAAAGGGGAGTAGTATGAGGGGCTGTGGTGAAAGCATGTTGGCTTCTGCTTTGTACCAGTTAAACCAGAGATTGCCCAGGTTGGGGCCAAGTACCAGGAAACTCAGGCAGGCCTCCTGGTTGTCCTTTTTGCTCTGGTGAGTGCCAACCCTCCTGCCAATGTTACCTGGATCGACCAGGATGGGCCGGTGACTGTCAACGCCTCTGACTTCCTGGTGCTGGACACCCAGAACTACCCCTGGCTCACCAATCACACCGTGCAGCTGCAACTCCACAACCTGGCGCACAACCTTTCGGTGGTGGCCACCAATGATGTGGGTGTCACCAGTGCCTCCCTTCCAGCCCCAGGTGAGCACCGCCAGCAGCTGGCATAGCCGTGCCTCAGGTGGGCACAGGGTCACAGTAAGAATGGGAGGTTTACCCTTTCAGTGAGTCTTGTGGGTAAGCTGTCCACAGCCACCTTGGGCAAAGAGGACAGAGTGGTGCCTGTGTCATCTTGGGGTTGGGGACACTGCCTGCTTGGGATCTAACCAAGGGATGACCTGCAGGGCTCCTGGCCACGCGAGTGGAAGTGCCACTGCTGGGCATCGTTGTGGCTGGAGGGCTTGCCCTGGGTACCTTGGTGGGGTTCAGCACCTTGGTGGCCTGCCTGGTCTGCAGGAAAGAGAGGAAGACCAAAGGTAGGGCCGAGGCTCTTGGGGACAGAGGGTAGCTGAGGGGGGGTGAGCAGGGCAAGGGGTGGGCAGCAAGGGCAGCGAGTGGAGTTGGGCAGAGCAGATTGTCGCTGACAGGTTGCAGAGGGCTTCCATCTGGACATGGGTGAAACAACATGCATACAGGGAACAGGGCCGGGCAATGGGAAGTCAGTCTCTGGTCCCAGGGTCAGCGCTGAGCATTGGAGAGACCCTTGTCTGAGAGTCCTGGGTCAGAAGGGGCATGGGACAGTGCCAGAGTGGGTGGGCACAGTAAGGGTCAGTGACATGGTTTCTTTGTCCTTAGGCCCCTCCCGGCGCCCATCTCTGATCTCCAGGTAAGTCCCTGAGACTGGGTGGATGGACAGGACTGAAATGCAGGCCCCAAGGGGAACCTGGGGCTTCTGGGAGGTCTGGAGAATGCCCCAAAGCAGGAAGCTGTGCCTGCTGGCGCCAGGGGATAGCCAAGCCTGTATGTTTTGTGCAGCGACTCCAACAACCGGAAACTCAGCAACGTGCACCTGCCACGGGAGAACATGTCCCTCCCATCCAACCTGCAACTCAACGACCTCACTCTGGATTCCAGAGGTACACTTGGGACCCTGCCAATTGTCCCTGCTCTCGCAGAGCTGCTTCTGAGAAGACAGCCTCGGTGCTTAGGAGGGCCTAGGTGTGGTCAGGCTCACTCCTTGTCCTGGACAGCACCCCCTTTGTCACCCAGCAGGGAAACCAGCAGACCGGCAGATGGCTCGGCCCAACAGCCGGCCTGAGCTTCTGGACCCTGAGCCTGGCGGCCTCCTCACCAGCCGAGGTACCGGGCAAGGCCTGCTGCCCTCCTCCTCTGCTCCCCAGCCCTGTGCTTGTGCCAAAGTCCTCCGAGTCCCCCGGGGCAGAGAAGGGTCTCTCAACTTCCAAGGAATGAGGGTCACTGAGACCCTGGGCATCTCTGATCCGGCAGGCTTCATCCGTCTCCCGATGCTGGGCTATATCTACCGAGTGTCCAGTGTGAGCAGTGATGAGATCTGGCTGTGAGGGGAGGGCCAGGCACAGATGCCCTCTTGGTCCCTGGCTACCCTCCTACTTCTTCTCCAAGGCACCCTCTACCTGGCCTTGTTGCCAGTAGGAAGAGGCCACGCCACAGCCACTTTGGCTTGCCTTCCTGGCTGGGGTGCCCTCTATGTCATCCCCACGATGAGTTTCACTAGGATCTGACCCTCAGGGGCACAGGCATCGTTTGCAAGACCTAAGTCCCTCATTCTAATGTGAGTTGGCCTTTGCAGGGGATGACTGTGCCAGGCACGTGGAACTCTTTGACCAGGTGTGCTCACATGTCACCCAGCATCTAAGTGTGGCATGGCCTTTTTTGCTTGGGCCTGCTCTGTACCCCACCCTGGCACTCCTCTGCACCTTGTCCAGTGGGCACAGGAGCATGCCTGGTTGGGGGACAGGAGGGTCCTGCATGTCTTGGATTTCCCTCCCATACTATGCAGCTTCCTTCCCTCAGGGAAAGTTTAGGGCCTTGCTAGCTGTATAGGATAAACTGCTCTTTGCATAGGAACCAACCCCTGGCCCAGGGGCACTGGCCAAGCACAAACTAGTCCCTTCTGCTGCATACTTCTGTGCCCTTCTCTGCCCCTTCTGCCCCTGTCTCCTTGTGGGCATTATAGATTATACACTGGACTTTCTCCACCTCTTCACTGGGCACTAGACTTCCTCACTGGCCTGACTCCTAGCGGTGCCAGCACCTGGTATTAGCACAAGTTGGGGAGGAGAGAAGTCTGGTGGGACCCAGCACATGGCTATGCAGCATTTTCCTGCAGTGTTAGCACTTTAAGCACATCCCCTGGGGGAGCGGGTGACAAGGAACCCAGGGCCCTCTTTGTGACTTCCCCCAAGTCTGACCTTCATAGGATTCACTGTGAGTGCCCTGAGCCCTCAAGTTGATGGTTGCCCTCTCAACATGCACCCTCCCCCCCACCAACGGGGCCCAGCCCTGCCAACCTTAGCTGCCCCACCAGCAGGAAGCCTGTCTTCCTGCCCTGCTGTCTCTCCTCTAGCAGATGGTCAGTAGGCACACGGTTTGACAGTGCCAGAAGCTTTAGGGGGACATGGAGAAAAGGGGAGACCACATACTCCAAAATGATCTAAGAACACTTTAAAAGGCAACATGGAAATGATTGCACATTAATATAGTGCAGAGTATATCCTTCCCTTGTTGATAACTTGTTTTGTAATTTTCCCATGTTACTGCCTCGGACAGTGCTGAGCACACAGAAACATCAATAAACGTGACAGTGAATTCACATGTCCCTGCTTCATTCCTTCAAACAGGGTTTAAATGCAGTCTCTCTGTCACACAGTAGGAAAAATGGCAAACACCTGTGTACTTACCACTCAGCTCTGTTGAATGTTAACATTTTGCCATATTTGCTTCATGACCTTTAAAAAATAAATGACTATTTCTTAAATAGCCCTCTTCCCCATGGTAGGGCTGATGGGCTATGTTGGGAGTGCCAGGTGGGGCCACCTAGGACCATGGCTAGTATACACTGAGCCCGTTTGTCCTGACGGGGGCAGGAGGTTCAGACTAGGCTGGGATTTTTCAAAAAAATTTTTACTGGGTGTCTTAGTTATTTAGTGCTGCCATAACGGAAATACCACAAGTGGGTGGCTTTCATAAACAAATTTATTTTCTCGTTGTTGTCAGGTGCCATCAAGTTGATTCTGACTCATAGCAATCCTGTGTACAACAGAACAAAACTGCCAGGTCCTGTGCCATCCTCACAATTGTTGCTATGTTTGTGCCCATTGTTGCAGCCACTGTGTCAGTCCATCTCACTGAGGGTCTTCTTAATTTTCACTGACCTACTACCAAGCATGATGTCCTTCTCCAGGGACTGGTCCCTCCTGATAACATGTCCAAAGTACATGGGACGAAGTCTCGCCATCTTCTAAGGAGCATTCTGGCTCTACTCCTTCCAAGATAGATTTGTTTGTTCTTCTGACAGTCCATGGTATATTCAATATTCTTCACCAACACCATAATTCAAAGGCATTAATTCTTCTTTGGTCTTCTTTATTCATTGTCCAGCTTTCACATGCATATGAGATGATTGAAAATACCATGGCTTGGGTCAGGAGCACCTTAGTCTTCAAAGTGACATCTTCGCTTTTCAACACTTTAAAGAGGTCTTTTGCAGCAGATTTGCCCAATGCAATACGTCTCACAGGAGGCGGTATATGCTGTAAACCAGTGTCCAATAAATGGTGCTGTTTCTCCCATAGCCAGGATTCATGGGTCCAGGAATCAAGGGGTGGAAATGGGAGTGGCACCACTCACTATTACCCCTAGTGACCCACTCCCAAGATTTTTACTTCCTGTCTCCACGATCTTATGCTCCGCGAGTCTAGAGGTCTTAGTTCCAAAGGGAGGAATGCTCCCACCTGGAGACACATCACTGATTACATGGAACTGGAAGCTAAGAATGCCGCCTGGCCACTTTGGGCTTCTTATGCCTCTGAATCAACAGGCAAAGAAGGGAGTTACCATACTGGTGGGTGTGATTGATCCTGATTACCAAGACCAAATCAGATTGATATTATATAATGAAGATAAAGAAGAATATGTCTGGAATGCAGTAGATCCCTTAGGGCATCTGTTAGTACTACCATGCCCTATGATTAAAGTCAATGGAAAACTACAGCAACCCAATTCCGACATGGCTATTAATGGCCCATTCCCTTCAGGAATGAAGGTTTGGGTCATCCTCCCAGGCAAAGAACCATGACCAGCTGAGGTGCTTGCTAAGGGCAAAGGGAATATAGACGAGTGGTGGAAGAAGGTAGCTCTAAATACCAGTTACGACCATGTGACCAGTTGCAGAAATGAGGACTGTAATTGTTATGAGTATTTATGCTTTGTTGTGTGCATCAAGTATTTTTGTTTTCTTCACTTAAAAATACAAGATGTAAACAGTGCTAGTGCATTTTTGGTTGTGTGTTCAATGTATCATGTTAGGTGCAAGTATGACTTTATAATTGTCTTTATTCAGAAATTATATATGGTTTCAGGAGTTGTGAACAGGTGCCAAGTTAACAAGGGGTGGACTGTGATGGTTAAGGTTGTGTGTCAACTTGGCTGGGCCTTAAATCTCAGTGGTTTGACAGTTATGATGTAGTTTGGCAGTCGTATGATGTTGTGATCACTTCCATGATGAGACTTGATATAAAGTGATCGCCTCCATGATGGGATCTGCTGTGAGTAGCCAGTCAGTTGAAAGGGAGTTTCCTTGGCTCTGTGGCCTGCATTTAATGTAAGTGGACATTCTGGCAAGGCTCATGGGCATTTGCTTGCTGTGGATACTGCAGCTGGCTCCTGTTCATCTGACCTCCAGTCTTGGGACTTGAGCTAGCAGCTTACCTTTGGTCTTGTGTACCGATCTTGGGATTTGTTGATCTTTGCAGCCTATAAGCAAGAGCCCTGCTCTCTGACCTGCAGATCTTGGGTTCACCAGCCCCTGCAGCTACGTGAATCAGGAGTAGCGTCTATCCTTACCCATGGACTTGGGGCATTCCAACCTCTACAACCATGTGAGCCATTTCCTTGATATAAATCTCTCTCTTTATATATTTATATGCTTTACTGGTTTTGCTTCTCAGAGAACCCAGCCTAAGACAGCCATGTTGGGTGCAGGACACTCCCTTCTCTTCTGAAATGAGTTCTTTTATCCTTTGTTAGCTGGTGGGGCAATTGGACAACTGAGGACGTGGCTGTTGAACACAACTTTTTGCTAGTAGGGTAGGTAGGACTCAAAGTTATTAATCTAAATGTATAAACTTAAATTTCTTTCTGATTATTTCTGTTACCATATAATGACTATATGGATTTTCTATTTCAATTTTTTTCTGGATTGAGTGTCTTTGAAGAAATATGCCTTAAATTGTAGAGATTTATCAAGTATGAGAAATTTACTTTGGGGACTGGTGAGCATCTCAAGGACATTAAAAGCCTCCTCTGTAGTAGCTAACACAGAATAAACCCAAGGTGTGAATAAAGACCATAGAGATGTCATGCTACATGTATTTGTACATCTGAGGTTATTTCGTTGGTGATGTTCCCTCAAAGTGGTTCTCATATGCATAGAAGACTACTATAGATTCAAAATGAATTCTTCCTCAGCTCTGGAGTGACCAGGAAGAAGATTGAGGGGAACTCCAGCTGAGCTGTGGGCCATGGGACTCAGAGGTCAGGGAGACTGTACCTGTCTGGACCCTTCTCATCTCCACCTGTCTTACCTTCTGCAGAGATGACAGGTCTGGAGACGCCAGGAGTATTCGCTCTCTCTTTCTTTCCTTGCCACAACAGTGCATACAAATAAAGTAATTTGTACACAATTTTAGGGAGATTCATGGACCTCTAAAACCTACCTAGTAATCCACGGATCTCAAACCAAGAATCTTTGAACTAAATGACTATCATTCATTCACTCATTCACTCAACTATTACTAATGGCCTGCTGTAGCCTTTGGCCTTCCAACTCTGATATTCTATAAAGTGAGATGACACAGGAGGGTGTTTCAGATACAGCTTTGAACCTATTACAATGACTTCCACCAATGACAGTCAGTGAACACTGGAACATCCCAGAGTACAGGGAGCCTTGGAGAATGTTTCTGAAGTCCTGGAATGTGAGCCCATTTGTAGGAGATCAGTATTCTTATGATTTTGAGCTACATAGTTTCTTAATTTATATATATAATTTCAAGATGTTCACTAATAGGATTCATGGTATAATGTGGCTGATATGTTTATTATGTTGACTTAAATTTTAAAAAAGCAGTAAAGAAAATTTTAAGAGTTTTTTCTTCATAGAGGTTATTTCCAAAATAGTGGTGTTAAATGTAGAATGGGCAAGTATTTAAGGACAATCTGTGGGGACCCTGTGATATGCGCAAGGCACCATGGAGAAGCCTGGTGTCTCCTGGATAATAGCAAAATCCATTTCCTGATAAAGCTGTAGGTGCAGTTAGGCATGACCCTGCACATATATGACTGAGACGCTAAAGAACAAGACATAAACTAATATAACTAATAACTTAATATGAATTGCTATAGCTAGAACCATATCCCCATGAAAATAAATGAATGTAAAGTGAAAATATATAACTATAAAACTAAATGATTCAAATGTAAATTACCAAAAAACAAAGAACATGGATGATTGAAATAAACAAAAAGAATAGTAATTTTAAGAAGAAAATATTTATAAATGAATATAAATAAGAATAAAGTACTAAATTAATAGTAAATAACAACGAACACCGGGTCATCTCCATCTCTGCTCAGGCTCAGGTCTCCAGGTCCCAGCCTTCACTGGTGTCAAGCCCAGAATCTGCAACACACACACACGGGCAGGAATCACTGGGGAGGTACCAAGACGGATGGAGGAGGATTGTGTTGGGGTGGTCTGTGGGACGCAGAATTAGGAGTCCTTGGACGCCTCATTTTCTGAA